GGGTTTGTACACATCCACCCTATAATGATAAAAATCCACCCAGTGTTTTTTTTTTTTAAATCCCTATTTTAAAATCCCCTTTCTCAAATCAGGCTGTTCAGAATGACGTAGTTCTGTACAGGCTCCTCCCATGATAGTTTGATTGACCGTAGCGTTTCAGCACAGAAACTGGACTGGTGTCTTACCTTAGCTCCGCCCCTGAGTGACTGTCATCAGTCCGCCATTGTGTCGACTCCAGTGCAGGGGAAGACAAGAATGACTCCTAAGCGATTGAGGTGTTCTGTTGTTGGATGTAATAATGTAACGTTATTGTTAATCCTCTCATCTGGTTTCTACTTTTACTTGTTTATAAATCACTCAATGGCCTAGGACCTAAATACATAGGTTTATATTCAATGAACATATCTGCTAACAGACCACTCAGATCATTAGGATCGAGTCAGTTAGAAATACCAAGGGTTACACAAAACAAGGGGAATGTGCTTTTAGTTATCATGCCACCCGCAGTTGGAATCAGCTTCCAGAAGAGATCAGATGTGCTAAAACATTAGTCACATTTAAATGCAGACTCAAAACTCATCTGTTTAGCTGTGCATTTACTGAATGAGCACTGTGCTACGTCCAAACTGAATTACCATTGTGTATGAAATGTGCTATATAAATAAACTTGCCTTGCCTTACTTTCGTTTTAAAGGAAATGCGCCGATCTGCCTAAATGCGTTTAAGTTCACGCGAATCATTCATGATCCAGCTTCATCTACAGAAGAAGTGAGTATAAGGTTATTTATGAATCTTTGTGTAAAAACAAAGTATGTAATAAACTTTTCATTAAGACCCTAAAGAATCATATCAACTTGTGGAAAATGGGCATCCGATGACCCCTTTAATGCAATACCTGCTAAATAGTGAGCCATTTTTAACTCACATGTTATAAATGCTTAATAAATATATTTATTCATATTTATTTCACTCAAAACCAGATTCCTTATTTATTTCATGATGCATCAAAAATGTACTTTTATAACAAGACTGAAGGGTGTTGTATTTATGGTTCTCTCATTTATATCTCATGACACGTGTCACTTTTCGTACAATGTTTCTTACCAGAATCTACTCTGTACCTTACCCAGGGCTGTACAGTGCGACATATATGTCACACGTGCTACGAAAAAACTGGTCTGTGCGATGAATAAATTTACGCTTGCGATACAGTTTTGCATGTTCATAACACAGCCGCTTAATAGTGTGAAGTGATTTCGTTGTGCTTGTTTGTGTGTGTGAGATTGATTCTACTTGGTAGTTAGGGGTGTGCGATATGACGATTTTTGAATGTCTCCACGATCTGCTTTTGAAGAAATATTGTTGTCTCGTGCTTCAGCGCACATTCTATCAGCTGCAGTTCTGGCGCCTCTCTCCGTCTCAATATAATGTACAACGCCATAAGCCACATGCATTCACATCAGTGTTAGCTCAGCAGTAGTTACTCTCACGAGACACTGCACTTATGAGCAATCAAAAAACTACACTATTTCCATCTGCTTTAAAGCAATACCGGTTACACATTTAATTCACGTGCTGTTCTGCAGCGCGTACTCAAGAAGCGCGCTCACACTGAGAGCCTGTCAAAAAGCGTCTGATTATTGGACTAAGTTGTCTTTCACGTCTGATTGATTTAGCATCTAATACTGTCAAAAACACACAAGGTTTACATTTAAACACAGTTGATTATGTCTAAAATGAAAGTAAACAGTTGAGAGAGAGTTTGCACGCGTGTGCAGTAGCTACTAAACATGCTGCCGACTGTCATTAAAGGAATAGTTCACCCAAAAAACTTAATTTCTGTCATTATTTACTCACTCACATTTTGTCCCAAACCTGTATTAGTTTCTTTCTTGTGCTGAACACAAAAGAAGATATTTTGAAAAATGTGTGTATCCAAACAGTAGCTGGTGCACACTGACTTTTACAGTAGGAAAAAAATACCAGCAACTGCTTGGTTACCCACATTCTTCAAAAATAACTTTTATGTTCAACAGACGAAATAAACTAATTCAGGTTTAAAACAACTTGAGTAAATGATGATATAAAAATGAAACACTATGACAGATTTGAAAGACAGATGACAGAATATTCATTTTTGGTGAACTATTCTTTTAATGTTAATAAAACACAGAAAAAAATCACTCACTGCTCTTGACTGATGAACTTATCATCAGTCAGTTGCTTTTAAAAAAGTATAATTGATGTATATAGTGTATATAGTATTTTATTTGAATATGTGTTCATTCAATTTCTTGAATGTTACTGCTAAATACTGTACCTGAAAAATAATACACTATTTGTTTTATTTGTATATTATGTGTATTTGTAATGTATATCTTCGTTCTTATTTTCTAATAACAGATAAAATGATGACAAAGATTTTTATCTTTGTAGCACCAGTGCTATGTGAAAAAAAAGTTAACGTACAGCCCTGACCTTACCCATGATACGCTGCAAAAGTTCATGATACCTATCCACAGCAATAATTAGAAACTGATATATTTTGTTTATCAAAAAATGTTTTCATAAAAACCACAACCATGACTTGATGAGATATCAATAATGAAAATGTATTTCAATTTCAATATTAGTTACCTGTTAACGTTAATGTAAAGAACCATTTATTATTGATTTATAAACATTAATAACTGGTGAAAGTGAACCTTGATGTAAAGAACCATTTTACACACGAAGAGTGGCATATACAAATAAACTCACATTAAACAATTCAGAAAAAAACAATCAAGTATTCCTCTAAATTCTAACTAAACATCACATCTATACAACAAAAATATTTGATAAATGTAAGCTCAATAAAGGAACCTAAAAATTTATATTTTATCTAATTTAACAGTTTTGAAATAATCAATCAATAACCGAAAGCAACTTTACAGAACATCATCATATCAAAAATCATTACTGATTGATACTGCTGATTGAGTGTGTTATCATGCTGGTATCTTCAGGACTTTCGTGGACAGCTCACTCCTAAAGTTTTTCATATTCTGTGTGGTGGTCAGATAAGTTTAAACAGATTTTTACTAGACTTCACATAATGCGTGCACTCTGTAGGCGTTTTGAATGTTTGTTTTTTTGCGCCGTGAGAATATTGAGTAAAATAGCTCACTTGTCATGGTGTTATTGAACTATATCATGTTATGAATAAACTAAACATTTAGAATGTTTACCTCAGTGTGTTTCTTCTGAGTTTATGTGTGCTGTCACGCTCGTTTGTTCTGAAGTCTCGAGACAAACAGAGTGAGCTTCAGCAGCGCGAGCTTGTGTTCTGCATTCTGCTAACCTACTGCGATTCTCTGTGATGATGCAGTAACTTACCACGGGTCTGTGCAGTGATTGTAAAGTCATTAGGTCCGTCAGACTGAAGATATTTTAGCGGTAATGAGACCCAAAATAATTAAGACCCATCGAATCTGAATTTAAGACATTTTAAGACTTTTTAAGGCCTTATATTAGGAAAACGTTATTTAAGACATTTTAAGACTTTTTAAGGACCCGCGGGCACCCTGCTTGCAGTACTTGGGGACGAGCAAATCGTCCGCGGGAGCGCCGGCGCGATTATTTATTTGTAAACTACATTGAACTAACACAGCGATATAAACACTTGAAAAAACACAGTCTGCAATGTCACCTCACAGTTAGCTTACCCGTAAAATCAGAAAACACTATGTGAGATAAAATTTTCACTTCAGAGCACAGCATGACTTCTCTTGAAAAGTGGTTTCGTATCAGATGCTCACCAGCGCCAACTACAGGCTTTGGTGACACACAGGCAACTACAGACACATACTTTGATGATGTGAACCTTTCTGTGTGCACATCTAAGATGTGTTTGCAGCAGAGAAAACTGTGCGAGTCTTGTGCTTGAATAACATTAAAATAACTTTGGACACGTGCGTACGCCTCTTTCCAGATGTGACATTTATAAATCGCAAATGATCTTGAAATTGTGCGCAGCTGACTGGTGTCAGATCTCTGCCTTGTAAACACCCCCTAATTAATATCATTAGCATATCAAAGAGCATTAGTCAACGTCGAAAACCGGTGAGCGGCAAGAAAAATTACTTTCGTGAGGCCGAAGTTGAGGTCATGGTAGAGGGATGCTTTTTAGGGGCGAATCAAAGAAACAAACCTTTTGTTTTATTTAAGTGAAACATATTTCGTTTAAGCTTATCTATTAAATTATATACAACTTTATTCTGTTTTTCCGTTCACAAAAGTGCGGCAGATGCATGATGACATGTCAAAACATGTTCTGTTTATGGTGATATTTGCGCATTTATGGCATTATTAACGGGTCTCAGGCATTCATATATTTAATTTTTTTAATCTAATTTAGTTTTTATTTAACATTCTAATCTGGTCTGTTAACATTTAAGCAGTTATCCAGCGTCTAATATCTGTCAGGAAAATTAACCGAAATGCACATCCCTAATACTATTATTATTAATCATCATCATCATCATGGCTGCTGCTTATGTTTCCAGATACCTGCACTACACAAGGAAAAGTGTGTACGTCTGCTCAGACCCTGACGTGGCTCTAAGCACTTTTTCAGGCAAAGACTATGTTACTTTCCCATGGCTTTAAGCTTATGCATACTCTGAGATCAAATTTGCGTGTACGCAAGCTTTATAAATGAGGCTCCTGGAGTGAAAAAAAAAAAATCTACATTTTTTGGTGTGTGTGTATGTTTTTTCTGTATCACACGAACACCCATTAGATCAAATATAGGACAGTTTCTACACAACATTTTATAAATGAAGCCCCAGTTCAACAATACTGGTATGTGGAAGAGAGTGTTTTGAAACAGAACACTTAAAACTGGTCTAAATTTTAAACTCTTTTCTCTGATATATTCTCTGAAGCTGAGGTTTAAAGGCAGAGGCACTCAAGTGAGTAACAAAAAGTCATCAAAGAGAAAGAAACTTATTGTTCAATTAAATGTGTTGATCTAAACTCTCTAAAGCTTCCTGTTTTGTGTATTTTCTCCATTCATCTGGAATCTTACCACAACCCTCAAATGTTTTACTGTAGTATTTTTCCAGATCTTTCTGGAATCTGCACACAAACCATTTCCAGTATGGCAGATCAGAGAGGTCAGGGGTGATGCTCCAGTTTGCAAAATCTTTTCCTGCTCTTCTGTATTCTCTCCAGGGGACTGCATCATCTGAGTCATATGTATGAAAATATTGATCACTTGCTACTGATGATGTGCAGATGCTAATAGACAAGTTAGTTGTTCCTTTGTAAAACCACCCATTCAGTCCATTATTATGATGAAAAGGAACACTGTGGTCTCCATGATGGTTTTCTATGGTGTTGGTGCAAATGGCTCCACAGAATGGACACTGAACCCAACAGCACTGACAGAAGTGATCAATCAGAAGCTCATCTGGTCTGAACTTACAGTCCAGCTTTAATGGAAATGTCTCTGTGCTGACTCTGCTGCTGATGTCTGACATTATAGTAGGAAGTTCTTTTTTTATGACATCTTCTATGAGTTTGAAATCATCAACATCTTCATGATTCACTCCACTGAGGTCTTTTTCAGAGAAGATCAGCTCATCTGAGAGCTGCTGTGTGAAACTCTTCAACCACAAACCAACATCTCCTCTCTTCCTTTGAACATGTTCAGTAGATTCATGTGCTGCTTCCATTATCTTCTGCTGAAGGAGTTTAATGTTCTTCTTCATTTTGGCTAAAACACTGACACTGAACTTATGAGTGCTGTACCAGCTGACTTCATCTCTGATGAAACCCTTGAAGTGATCTCTGGGGGTTTTAATGTAGCTCATGTATTTTTCAAAATCCTCATCTTCTGCCAGTGTCTTCAGGATGTGTTTCTCAAGATTTGATCTGTTTCCATTCAGTGATTCACAGTTTGATCTCATTTCATCTGCTATATCTCTGGCAGTCTTCTTGTAGACACTCTGCTCAATGGGCTCTTTCAGTTTCTGACAGATGATCTCACCAAAAATAGCAGCTGATGTTGCTCCGCGACAGTATTTCTGGAAAATACTATAGTACTCTTCTCTCTTCTTCTTCAAATAAAGAAGAGGATCATTGGCTTCCCTGAACAGTCTCTGTTGGTCAGTGATCACCATGTTTGCTCTCTTATAGACAGAAAGAACCAAATCCACAAAGAATTCATTTTTGAACACATATTTCACTCGTCCTTCCTGTTGTATTACACTTGCCTTGATGTAATCTGTGAGTTGTTGAATATAGCTTTTGTTGTAGCCCATCTTTGAAATGTTAAATGACTTAATCATTTCATCTGTCTGTTTAGCAACATCTATGACAAATGTTCTTATTTGGGTTTCATCTGCTGGAGACAAAGTTCGACCAAATCCTAATGATTCTTTTACAGCCTCTTTAAATCCTCTGTTTGTGGACCTTTTGATACTAACATATTCTGAGTAACTGGGCAGAAATAAAATGTTTTTGTGCTCACTGCCCTCTTTCCAGTGGTCTACAGGGAGACGTCCCTCATAGATCTCATTGAGAAGCCTTCTCGCATCTCTCATTATGTCTATGTTTTTGATTGGAGGAGTGCCTGTAATGATCTTCTTCACACTCTGTTCCCAAAACAAATCAAACTCTTTCTTCAAAGTTTTCTCATCATTTGCTTTGTGTTTCAGTTGTAAGGCAAGTTCTTTGCTTTTTTCAAAGAGAGTGTTTTCATGATGTTTCCTCTGATCATCAATCTTTTTCTTAAGGTCTCGCTGCTGAAGAATCTCATTTAATTTCCTCTTTGTTTCTCTCACAATGTTTTCCTGAAGCTCTTTGATTTTGATTTCAAATGATGTTTTCCACTGAATCAGTATATCTTCATCTGTGTCTTTCTCAAAGAACTCTGACATTGATTTTTTCACTTCTTCACTTGTCTCCTTTAGTTCTATTTTTAGATCAATTTCTTCAACCTCATGAATTGCTTCATTTTCTATTTTGTTGTGTAGTTTGTTCTCAGTTTCCATCATGGCACTGCGAAGACTCCAGGACCACTTGCTGTATTCAGTCTCCAGTTTCCTGTAGGCTGCAATTTCCAGACAATTTCTGAAGCTGAAGACGAATCGCTCATTCAGTAAAGCCTCCCAGAGATCTTTAATACGAACTTTTAAGTGTGTCAGCATCATTCCATGTGATTTTACAGCATGAGACATGATAGTTTCCTTTAGTTCCCGAATGTTCTCGCAGTAGTTTGGGTTTGGTGGTGCCATCGGTGGGCTGCACTCCCAGAGCTGAGTAAAATACTTCACATCATTCTGAACATCAAATCCAATGACATCACTGAAACATTCTGCATCACAGACTTCATCTTTAGCAGCGAGTTTTGTCATCTCATCCAGTGTCTTCTGCAGTCGTCTCCTTCCCTCCATGTTTTTCTCTCCAGCTATGACGTCTGAAACGTTCTGATGCACAAACACACAGCTGGGATTCAGTCTGACCTTCTTCATCCTCATGAAGGCCTGAACAACAATCTGAAGAATGTCCTGCATCTCAGCTGGGTTTTCTCCAAAGATGTTGATCAGTGTCAGATTTCCAAGACCAACAACAAATGTGGCCAGTTCATTGTCATGATGTCTTGTTGATTTTCCAGTCAGTTCTAGAGCACGAAGACCCTCAGTATCAACAACCAGAACATAGTCAAAATTAATCTGTGATTTAATCTCGTCTGACACTTTGACCAGCTGCATGAAAGCTCCTCTGGTGCACCTGCCAGCACTGACGGCAAACTGCAGTCCAAACATGGCATTCAGCATGGTGGATTTCCCAGAGCTCTGAAGCCCTAAAACTGACAGAACAAAGACTTTCTGATCTCCCAGTTTCTTCATGAGTTGATCTAGAACAGCAGAGATCCAGACCAGAGGAACATGAGCAGCATCTCCATCCATCAGCTCCAGTGGAAATCCAGAGATCATCATCTCTGCTGCAAGACCCGGTAGAGAAGAGAAATTAATCTGCAGGTTTTTCTTGTTCTTCTTCAAACATTCACATGATTCATAGATCTGACCGATCTCCCTCATGATGTGCTCCAAACCAAAGGTTGCAGCTTGAAGTTCCTCTGATATTTTCTCAAGTTCTGCTGTTAGTTTTTCAGATTTATCGTGATTCTCTTTCTCTTTTACTACTGTAGACCACTTTTCATCATATTTGTTTTGAAGATCAGATATATCCCGTGAGGTATATTCATCCAGGAGAATTCCAAGCCATTTAAGAAAATACATCTTATTCTCACCATGCAAGTGAATTTCACTTATAAACAACTTTATAAAAGTATTCATGTTTTCTTCATGCTGTTGCTCACGTATTCTCTTCAGGATGGCTCGTTTTTTACTTCTTTCCATTTCTAGCTCTTCTGCTTGAGTTCTGTGTAGTTCTTTGTTTGTCTGACACCACTGATGCCACAGTTTCCCCTGACAGGGCAGAATTAATTCTTTGATTTTTGTCAGATCTTTTGTCCTCAGTACACTCATTATGTGCAGTGCTGCTTCTTTTCCTCTCCTGCAGTCAACATCATCTTCCTCGTCTACTTTGATGTCTAAGCAGTTGGACACATCTTCAACTTTGAAAGTGGAAACTGATTTTAAAGAAGAGAGACAATCACTTATAGCTCTTCTGAGTTCTTTAGATACATCTGACTGATTTCTGTCTTTCAAACCAATTTTGTATTTTGATTTTCGTGTCTCAGTGAGAGTTAAATCATCATCAGTAAGAATACAAATAAGTGGCTTTGAGTCCTTATAGAGTTCTTGAACATTTATTATGTTTCTGTCATCCCTCTGAAGTTGTGGCAGAAAAACAACATTGACTGAGGCCATTTTAGTGAGGACCTGCAGCTGTTTCTCATGATCTCCTGCATCACCGTGTAGGTTACAGAACGCAACACAGTCAGTGAATTTATCCATGTTTTTTCCAGAGGGGCAGAACCAGGTGATCTCCACCACCCCATCCATCAGGACTCTAGTTCTGCTGCTGCCTGGGCAGTTCCTGTGGAAGAACGTGTCGTGTTTGTCATTGATCAGAGTGTTCATCAGCTGAGACTTAGATGAAGAGACAGAGCCAAACCTGAAGAAAAACACCATTGGAGTTTGTGCCTTATAGATTGGCTGGGTTTGACTGATGATTTCATTGTTTGTGTTTCTCATCTTCCAGCTCTTGTTGATTTGTCTGAATGTCCAGAAAGGAAACTCAATCTGTTGTGTGAATGGATCAGGAACAAGCAGAGGCAAAGCAAACTGACACTGGGACAGTTTAGTCACCATCAGCTGCTTCAAAAAACCATCAGCACAATGAAACACGGCCATCTGAACATCCATTGGGTGTATTCGCTCAGACTGATTTGTTTCTTTATTTGATAAAGGTTTGTTTACAAAAATATCATTAAAAAACTCAGCTTCAGGTGTGTCATTGTCTTCTAGTGTGTGATGCTGTTCATTGGCATTGTTAACATGGATGTATCTTGCTCTGTAGTTCATCATCAGTAGTTTTTGTAGGAAAGTCTGAACCAGCTCTTCCTCAGCACAAGACTCATTGGATAGTAATGAACGTTCAGTTAATTGAAGAGCATCTGCAGCTCTCAGTTTATTGTGGTGCCTGTCTTCAAGATGAAGTCTGTGAAAAAGATTATTCATTTTGTCCCTTGTAGATATTGAGGTGCTTTCACTCCTGTTGTTTAAATGTCCTTGTTTTTCCTGTTGTGTAAAAAAAGGGATTATTTTAGTCTGATGGGATTATTTTACATTTTGTTAGAATGACACTGGGTAATATACAGACAAATGTAATATGCAGCAATGAGAAATGTATTTTATTGTATTCTGATATTATGATCATATATTTTTTCTACATACATCTGACTATTTCAAGAACACATTTTTACTATTTAAAATCACTGATAGGTGACGAGGGAAGATGTAGCTTTATATTCAGATGTGCTTAATTATTAGGCAATTATTTTACAGATAAAATGGGCCAAACAAGATTGAACTGATATGAAAAATAGGCCAACAAAAGTCATCAGTGTTGCCACAAAAAAAGAATGTAAAAAGATGCATATTAAATGCTACTTGAACAATTCAGGGGAAGAATTAGGTATCATCATCACTTATTCAAACACTTAATTATCTAATTAACTTCAACACTGCATCAGTGTTATTTTAACATACTGTAGAAACAATGGTGAAATAATTTATGTAGCCTGTAGCCATTTTTCAGTTAAGTAATAAAATGAAGAACAAAGAAACACATTCCAAGAAATAGAACAAAGAATTAATTGATGATTGATTATTATTGGGGGCCTAGCCCCTATTGTATCCGTTAGTTTTCTTCTTATTTTTCCCAAATGGGGAAAATGACGAAATTTGTCATAATTGTTGAGATGGTCATGAATAGTGATTGGACCAAATTTGGAGTCTCTAGGACTAGCCACCACCACTTCAAAAACTCACTTTTCTAAATGTTATAAATTTTGAACCATTTGCTCTAGACAAATTTAAGTAATTTGACACCTGATTCGTCTCTTCATGCTGACGCCATTCAACATCTTACATTAAGTCTCTGCCCATTACAGTAGTGGCCATTTTGAAAAGTACAGTATTCATTTTTTTCGCTACTCCTACAAATTTTGTTCAATTCATCCCAAACTTGGCAGAGATAATCTTTGAGCCGCATAGAAATGACTGAACAGAATTTTATGACCTGCTGGTCAAAAAAAAGTTATGATGCTGTGAACTTAAACGAGGTCAACCCATAATTGGTTCAGAGGCTGTATCTCGGCCAAACTTTGATCAATCGAAACTAAACTTGGTATACTTCATCAGCACCATGATCTGAGGGTCCATGCCAAAGTTGAGAACAGCACCACCTACATACCATCCAATCTGTGGATGTCGATTTTGCCAGGATCAGCTGATACTGGTTAAAATGCTAAATAACTTTTTGTGAGCTCATTCTCACACCTAAACCTCTACTCGGCAGTCTGTTGAATGTGCGTTAACTTAGTGGTGCACTCTGCTAAGCCAGAAGTGGTATGAAATTTGCTTCTGTTCCAGATGTTGAATTTTCCATGTATGTTCATCTTGAATCAGAAATGAGTTTTTGTTCATTCTCATCTGAAAGTCTGTTCATCTTTGAACTTCTGTTTTTATGTACATTCTATTTCTGCAGTTTTTATTCTTCCTGCTCTGCACTGCGCTACAGCCCCTTCAGGGGCTTGGCCCCATATCGCTGCTTGCAGCTATATTCTTCTTCTTATTATTTTTCCTCCCCAATGGTAGTCTATGGCAGCACTATGAACTGTAAGTAGGAAAATTATTAAATTTGGCACATGTGTAGTGATGGTCATGAATAGTGACCTGACCAAATTTGGAGTCCCTATGACCAACTCTATAGTGCCACCACCAGCTCAAAATTCACTTTTCAAATGGTTATAACTTTTGAATCCTTTGATCTAGAAAAATTAAACTTAGTACACGTGATTATTCTCTTCATGCTGATCACATTGAATAGCTTATATTATGACTCCACCCATTACAGTAGTGGCCATTTTGAAAAGTACAGTATTCTGTTTTTTCGTTACTCCTCCTTCAAAATGAGTCAAATTCTTCCCGAATATTGGCAGATATGATCTTTGGACTGAACTGCACAGAAATGACTGGAAAGATTTTTTTAAATTAATCTTTGTTAAAAAGTTATGATGTCACAAACTTAACAAGGTAGACCCAAAATTGGTTCAGAGACTGTATCTCGGCCAAATTTTGAGCAATCGAAACTTTACTTATAACTTTTGAACAGTTCAAAAAAATTAATGGGGAGAAAAATTCATGATATATGGATTCCTTGGGTCATGTCGAATCTGTGGATGTCGATTTTGCCAAGCTTGGCTGATCCATGTGTCCGCCATTTTGAAATTCCATATCTGCACAAAAATTGGTAGAGATCATCGACACCATGTACCGGAGGTACCTGAGATGTTTGAACACGGCACCACCTAGCGTTCTAGAGATATAATAATTTTTGCAAAAATGCTTATACCTCTTGAAAATATTGGGTGCTTCTCAATATCCCTTTGTGGAAGTGTTTTATCGACTAAACGTGATGTACATATAAATTCTCCTCCCCCTTCACATCTGCACCAAGTGCTAACCATGGCAGAAAATACAAACACACATAAATGTGGGTATTAAGCATGAAGTTATTGTAAATGTGGGTTACGTTTTGACAGTGCCTTTAATTTCGAAGTATAACATGTACTTTTCAGCACAGTTTTAATTATGTTTATTTACTTCTTTTGATTTTAATGGCTTAATTAAAAAAATTAAAAGCAATGACTTTCATATTGGTTAATAGAGAATTACTTTGATATAATTCTGCAACTGTCCTACATTAAAGCACAAGAAAATTAAAGAAAATAAAACAAACTGTAATACTATACAACAAATAAAAAGCAGTTAATAACTGGGAATAATTCATTGTTAATAATAAATGGTAATATATAACAAATATACGGACAAATTTGGTATTTTGTGAAGGTTGAAACTATTACAATATAAATAATTATCTTTAATGTTCAAGAATCCTGACATGCAAGCTAAATCCAGCGGTGTAGAGTCATCATTATGTGATGGGTTTAGTTTTTTTCGAATGTTTGCTTGTAATGTTTGTGTACATCTCCAATGGCAAGACACCCACTGGCGTTGTTGCGTCGTATCATTGAGCTCACCTGTGTGGCTCATTGATTGAGGCGGGATGGTCTTCACAGTTTTAAAAGATGCCGCCTTAATTATTGCATGATGACTCCTTCGACGTGTGTTCATGCTCTTGTGGGCAGTAATAGTTTTCTTTGTCATCTATCACTTTTTTTTTTTTTTTGCTCCTTCCTGTTGAGTTGTCTCCTTTACTAGTCCTTTTTGTAAGCCGTAAGTCACAGTCTAAATATGTGTTTGCCATTAGGAGAGTGTGTGAGTGGAGTGGCGAGCACAATTCGCATAAAGTCTGCTGTAGTTTAAGAATTTCATCTAAGAGGTAAGAAGTTTATTGTGGGTTTTAAAGGGAGAAGTTCATTATTGAAGTTAAACTTTTTATTCGTGTCCTGATTGCATCTGTATTGCAGGTGCAGCCTGAGAGTGCTAGCTGCCATTTCATATACCCGTTTTATACATTGCTGTTTCATCTCTCACCGTATGCGGCTGATTCCGACGGCTGTGGATGCCGCTGTTTTGAACTGCGATTTGCCGGTTGCTTTCTAAAACTAACCTGTCCTGTTAATTCGTATGGTATATTGATGCAGACGTATTTGACATCCTCGTTTTTAGTGTTACTCTATTAAATTAATTGCTGTACCTGTGTATTGAAGCAGTCTGGACGGTTTTAAAATAATATTAGTGACGATATAATTTTGCTTAAGACTGTGTTTGTATTTGTTTTATTGATTCTCTGAAATACCAAACCTTTATTTGCCAGTGTATTTACCTACTTGTGAATGTTTGATGACCTGTGATATTGAAGCTTAACAGCAGGAGGGTGTTCACCTTTTGTTGTGGTATTGTGTGTTTTTTTGGATTGTCACTGGCTTTAAGAATTTCCATTCACTGATTGCTGTGTGATTTTTTTTCTCCCTGCTGCTAATGGGGTATTTATCCAGATTTCTAATCATTGTGGGTATTTAATTAGTAAGCTGTAATAGAGTTCTTTTTTATAAGGTGTTTTAGAAGAAAGATTGTGAAATAAATTTGGTCTTGTAGGGAAGTCAAACCAGCAGGGACCTTCATATTGTTGTAACCATTATTTAGAAATTGCTTTTGGGGTATTTAATTTAATTATCCTGGGTGGTGGCAGAACCTAGGTGGCATAGTCAGGTTTCCTCAACATCCTAAGCCAAGGGTTACAATTAATTGACAACGCTTTGAAGTGATGCTAAAGGGAGCGAGGATATAATTTCAATTGATTCAATTCCTCTATCCTCATGTCTTTTCCTTGCGTCCTTCCCTCGCATCATGAAGGGGTGGAGCTAAGACGCGATGAAAGGAAACGAGGATGCACAAATAAAAATTGAGAAGCACCCATTGTCCAAATATTGTTATTTTTGTATCCTTTCATTCCCTGGGTTACGCCGATTCTGACTGTCATTTGCCATTTTTAAATAATGTGCCAGTTCGCCATGTTGAAGTAAATAAAAAAAACTTTTTTTCACTACTCCTCCTACAAATTGTCCAAATCTGATCAGATAATCTTTGGAATGAAATAACTGAACAGATTTTTGATGTTTGCTTCCGTTGTTGAGAAATACCTCTCTGAAGTTAAGCGTGCCTGTGTTGGTTGTCCTATACAAGTTAGCTTAACATACTAACAGGTTACAGGCTAATTATGCGTTAATATTAACTTAACAAGCATTTTAACCAGTGTAACATGCAAAGTTGACCATTGGCCCCGAACCTTTCAGGTCATGGGTTTGAATCCGGTATGGCACATTCCCAGACCACCATAGGTACTGTGCCAAGAAATGATGATGAAGTTGCTTCTTATCCAGATGTTGTGCTTTTCTAAGTATGATGTCATCTGAGCTTACTAAATACTACATTTGATGCATTGTTGTTTGTGCATCTTTTTCTTCCACACTTTTTCTTTCCACTCAACTTTCTGTTAACATGCTTGGATACAGCAC